ATTTTCTTCTGGCATGTTGCACAATGTGACAGGCATCTGTCATGTGTTTGTTCTCTCAGCTTTTCCACCAGAAGGCAAGTGTTGTCAGTAAACTAGTTTGTTTTTAAAAAATGTGTGTATATAATTAAGTGTATTTGTGTGTGTATGTGTAAATGCAGCACACATACACACACATGCAAACTGAGTATCTGCTTCTCCTAGAGGTGTGAAATCCCCACAGAAAGCTCTGTCTGCTGTACACTCAAGTCAGTGCAGTCCATGTGGTATGAGAGAAGTAAAGCTGCTGTGAGACTATAAACATTTTCTAAACAATATTGCAGACAGAGGAGTAACAAAGTATTCCTCAGTGGAGTGGCTTTAATTAGTTTATGACTCCAAGGCAACCTCATGAGTACAGTGATGTTCCCTGGCCACGGAGTCTGGCCGAGCACGCCCATTGCTCCCAGCAGAACTTACCACGGTGCAGAAACCAAATAAGTGCTCAGCATGTGGTGTCTGTGGTGTTGAGAGGCCTTAGCATCCCTGGAGCACATCTAGCATATCAGCATGAGGAGGTCCTGCTGCCATCCTTCTCCACCTTCCCTTCTGTCCATTAGCCTTTTGTAGTGTTTAGTCCTTGGTCAGTGGTTATTGCTTATTCATGTATGATGTCTGGTGGTAGCTTCCTTAGCACTTAACCTCTAGTGCCTTTGTCAACCCATCACACCTGGTGTCAGTGCTGCTGTTTCCACTTGATTGCTCCAGGTCCTATTTCTGCAGGTTTTTGCAGCACTTTTTTAAAGTTGTAAGGCATCACACCCCTAGTTACTGGACAGCTGATTATCCCTACTGAGTCACGACTGGCACCTAGGCCTAGGACTAAGGCAAGTTTCCCTTCAGTCCTGGTTATCAAAGTTTCCTCCAGACACCTATGACCCACTTCTAGAGAGTGTTTGTAGTCACACTGATTACTCTGACTCACTGAGCAGCAGAAAATCGGTTGATTAAAGGGGTTGGAGTTGTTCCTAAGATAGTGCTAAATTATGGAAGCAAGTTTGGGGTACCTTGGCAGTGCAGTGTCAAGCTGCCAAAAGAGCATCACTCTCTGTTCATGACTAGTCTGGGGCTTCACAGGCAGAGGGGGTTGTTGCTTACAGAAACCTGCAAAGTCTTACTGAGTAGACCAGTAATGCAGCTACCATTGTGTTGATGTGGTGTATCCATATAACCTGTAACAACACAAGTTGTAGGTGGGCAGACACTGACAAGGACCAAGAGGTCCAGCCCATTTTCTCAAGGGGAGCTCTGTGCTCACTCTTCCCACCAGTTTCCTCTTATTACCCTTATATCACCTTTATCACCCTATCACACCTTTTCTCTCCTCTGGTGACATAATCTCCAAATACTGGGGATCACTGTAGGAGTCCTATTGATAGATTTGAATATCTGTATGGGTTAATTTGCAATCTCCTGGGCTAAAGGCAAAGTCCACCCTGGAGACAGAAAATTTGAATTCATCTTACTCATAGTGTTGGCATTCCTCCTAGTGAGTTCCCCAGGTATCTGCTGGTGTTGCAAGAAGGGATGAGCTGAACAGGATACCCAGCTCCATTAGACACAACTTGGAACACTTCTTGCATGGTTTGTGTTAGAGCCTCCGTGAGATTAGCAGGGTGAGACATGCAGCCAATGACCCCATTTTCTAGATGTGTCTAGGCCGCGATTGTTGATAGGGTTTTTCTACATGGATACACTGTTGGATTGCTTACTTGATCTACTTTTTGCCTTGCTGCTCCCACCTTCTGCAGTGTTGACACCTCATGCCTGCATTGGCAGCATAGCATGGGGTTCTTCTGTGGTGTGATTCCTCCACCTGAAATATCACGTCACTCACAGCAAAAACACTCTCCCTTGGTAGCATTAGCTCCCTTGGTGCAGCTGGAGCAGTGACCACCAGGATAGATGTCAATGCGAGCTTTTAGCGGGGACACAGTCCACCGCATGGGCCTTTCCTGCTCTTATCTGCTACAGTCCAGGGTGTGCTTGGATTGGCTTGGGCAGGACAGTGCTTGAACCCTATAGCTGTTGGATTAGTGTTTAGCCAAAGTAGACTCCTGCACCTAGCACTCTCACAGGGGTAGGTGGTATTTTTGCACCTGAATTGCAAGCAGTTTAAAAGTGATGTGCCTAGTTGGACTGTTGTCTCTTCAGAGAATCCACAGTTTTGTTTCTCCCTTCTTAGGTGAGGGACACTTATTCCCTTCTCTGCACTGGCAGTGTACCAAGCTTTAGATAAGTATGAGACTGAAGGCTGCAAAAAAGAACCTCCACGTATAGGTTGGTTTTCCCTGTGACAGGCTCCTGTCCCCTTCCTGATAGTTGACCATTGCATGAATTTCGTTTGTATGCTTCCCTTCCTGTTGTGTTTCACTCTCCATAGCCAAGGTCTCGTGTCCTACTGTTGCTACAAGGATTGGGCTGGGAACATGTGACAGAGGTGTGGGCTGGGGGAGTGTCACAATAGTGTCAGAGGGGAAAATTGAAGGTGAGAGTGGAGAATGGCACATCTAGAGCCATCTCTTCAGGGTTACATCCTTCCCTTGTTGGGTTATGAACTAAGAAACCTAGTTTCTGTATAAGAAATCTAGAAAATACCCAGTCCCAGAGCAACGAGGGCCTTCTCTGTCTCCAACTCCTCTCCGTCTGTATCTGTGCCAGGGCCAAGCTTGTACTTCAGTAATGAGGGTTATATCAGCTCCATGTCAGTCATCTCTTTTGATTGTGTAGCAACAGGCCTTCCCCTCCTTCTAGCTCACATATCACCTTGACATGGATCTTGCTCAGTAGGGCAATATTCATATGGTGTAGGCAGACCAGCCTGTTCTGCAAGAGAGCTGGGTGGTGCATCCAATGGACACATCCATCCAAGCAACCTCCCCAAGTAGGTATGGATCACAGTGGATATTTTGGTACCTGCTACAGAAACAATGACAGAGGAGTGCACTTACCACTCATGCCACAGGAACATGGGGCTGGGTGCAGGGTCCTGCCTTGTTCGGTTTCCACATAGCTGTATAGGTAGCAGCCATCTCTCCCTCATGTCTTTGGACAGACACTGATCTGTGAGATTGTTGTCTTCAGCATGGATATCTGTAAAACAAAGTATAATTCACTTTTTCCAGTTCCAAACTTTACAGTTTATGGCATCCCACTTCACCTGTGTCACCCTCCTTATGTGAAGTTACAAGATTTCCAGTCTTCATTACTTTTTTACCACTCTAAACTATTTTGCTGGATCCATCCATGAAAAACCATATGCTTCTGATCCACCAGTGTTTTGTCTTAGTGGGAGGCCTCTAGGGCGTGGGTGCTTCAGGTCCATGTTCCTCCTTACAAGCAGATGCACTCTGTTTCAGAAGGTTTTTGCACTAACTGAGTTAAGATCTGGCTGCCTCTATGTTTGGTGCTTCTACTGACAAGATGAAGGTGCACCTTTGCTAGGCAATGGGAGGCATCCTGCCTCCTCTCTCCTGCTAAGAGAGTCCATGCCACCGCTAGTGAGCTGGGTACATCAGCCTGGTCACCCAGCAGGGCTCCTGTTTTACAGTGCTCATTAGGGAAATGTGCTTCTGAGCCTTTGCCTAAGGAGCTGTTCCTACCTCAGTAGGAACCACCAGTGGTTGAGAGTGGGTGAAAGCCTTCATGGCTTAGTGAAAGTACCAACCCCTGGCCAGGTGCACTGCACTGGGTATTGCCTCTCTCAGTGTTTGCAGTTCCTGCAATATTTGTATGAGTCCTAGAGACGGACTTCCCTTGTGTGCAGGGCCAGAGTGATACTGGTCTTTTATGTGTTGGTTTGTTAGGAGTTAAGGTCAAAAAGAAGCTTCCTTGCAAAGGAAGCAAGTCCTGAAGTCTTAATTTTCAGCACAATGAATGAGGAAAAAAAAATCTCAATATTGCCAGGTAATTTAGGTGTTTAGGACACAGTCATTGCTAATGCAGATAAAGGGCACCTACAGGGGCTCCAGACAGCCTGACCCTCCATTAGTTCTCTTCACTCACTAAAGCAGATTATTTTGAGGTATTTCATCTATGGGAAGTTTAAAGATCTCGAAATGCCATTTTTTCCCAATCATGATGAAAGGATGAAATCTGGGACCATTTCAGAACACATTTGATTTCACCCTCCTTAAAGAGGTTCATTCTGCTAGTATCAAAACATTTCATTGACTTCATCATATGATTTACTTGAATAATTTATCACTGATACAATATCTATCAGGTGAAAAATTAAATAAATTAAAAAATAAATTTTCATAGAAAATGCATTAATAGCATTTACCTTGAAAATTAACATAATACTTCTATGCTGACCTATTTCTACTCAGTCTGATCAGCATCTTGTGATACAAAATACTTACATGAGACATTTTTCAAAAGCTCTGAAAATAATTATCCCCCAGTAGCAATAAAAAGCCAGGCATTCAGCCAGGAATAATATCTCAGCCTGGTACCTCAGGAAATTCCTCCTTCTGTCATGTTAACCTTATTGAAGGGTGGTTTTGGCAATACTAACTGCTGCTGGTGCGAAAAGACAACAATTAACAATTATAATCACAAAATTGCTTTAAAGAAACCTCTTCCTTTTGATGCTTTGCTGAGAAGAGCCTGTGTCACCTCTCTACAGTGGTTACATCTGCCTATTAACTAATATTCATATCATGACACGCTTTTCCTTCCCTGAGTTTCAAGAGGGCTCATTCAATATTGGAAGATGTGCTGAAGTGCCACCAAGCAACAGCAGACACCTGCAGAGATACAAACATACCTCATTTATTTTTCCCCAAATGAGCTTCCATGATAATCTAAACCATCCCAAATTCTCCCTGATGTCTGAGGGTCCTGGGCATGTGCTCTGAAGCAATGGGTAGAAAAGCTTGCATATATGTTATATTTTTAAGCCATGAATAGACAATAGCAGATTGATGTGTGACAAAGTCTTTTCTCTCTTTTCCAAACAGCTAATATGCCAGAGGATTATCCAGATCAATTTGATGAGGTAGTGGACTTTATTCAAGCCACTATTAAAAGACTGAGGAGATCACCAGATAAACAGACTCCAATTTTTTCTAGGCGGGAGAGAAACCGTCAAAACGCAGCGACAAACGTAGAGAATTCCAGCAAGAAGGGAAGGAGGAATCAAAAGGGCAAAAATCGAGGATGTGTCTTAACAGAAATACATTTAAACGTGACTGACTTGGATTTGGGATATGAAACCAAAGAAGAGCTAATTTTCCGGTATTGCAGTGGATCTTGTGATGCAGCTGAGACCACCTATGACAAAATTTTGAAAAACTTAACCAAAAAGAAAAAACTGGTCACTGACAAAGTGAGGCAAGCTTGTTGCAGACCCACAGCCTTTGATGATGACCTGTCCTTTTTGGATGATAACCTGGTTTACCACATACTGAAAAAACATTCCGCGAAAAGGTGTGGATGTGTCTGACAGCTGCTTGCCAGAGGCAGCACCATTTTTCCATTCCTACTACACTGCAAAGAGAGGGACCAAGGTTCCCAGGGAAGTGTCTACTCGGAGTGGAGAAAAAAAGGACCAAGAACACAGAATGAGGAGCCATGAGAGCCTGGGAATGGGGGGACATGAAGCAGAGTAGAAGGATGGAGACTTTTGATGTCCTATGGGGATTTAGATAAAAGCTCAGGTGGAGATGCCGATGGATGGATGGTGTGCACGCTACCTTTCCTGTTTGACTCAGTCCACCATCAGTGAGACTCAATCCATGAGGAACGTGCTTAAAAACACAACCCTGCCATACCACGCTGTGTTGTAGTTATGCCATGATATACCAGTTATACCAAGAAGCTTAGCTAAGAAGTAGGTTAGGAGTACCTTACTAATCCCCTGTGCCCTCAGCTCTACTGAAAGACACATTGTGCTGCTGCTCATTGGAGGGCAGTTCCTGAGCGCTTAGGACAACTCCTAAGCTATACTAAGATTAACCTTGTAAGTAAGATGATATTGGGCAAATATCAAAAAGACTAGGCTCAAGTTCTCACAAAGCAAAACAGTTCTGCTTACTGGCTAAGTTTGGTTATTTCCATCTCGTGTTTCTTCAAAACAAGTGCAGGATTTCATTCTTCTGCTACCTATGAAAACAAGTTGAGTTTTTAAGCACTTCTTCCTAGTATAGTAAGAGAAATAACAAGCCCAGCCTACACAAAATGCGTTTCTTTAGGTTTACAAAGGACTAAAGTCACTTGCGTAACTACGTTTCTATTTGATCATTGTGAGTGAGCAGAGACTACTTGATGCAATGCATCCCTTCAGAGACATAAATATACAGAAGATATTTATTGCGATTAAGTTATTGTTATTTATTACAGTTCAGTAAAGAGTCTCCTTATTTATTAAAGTGTCTTTCAAAGGTGCCAAAGTAGATGGCACTTGGGGATATAGAGAGACAAAGACGTTGGGAACAACGGTCCATGCTTTTGATTGAAAGTGTTAACTTGAATGCAAAAAATCACTTACTTTACCTTTTTTTTTTCCTTTAAACAAAATCTTGATTATGTTCACAAAAGGTAGTGCCGAAGCCTGCAGCCCTTCTGCCTATTCACTAATCCTTTAGAAAAATTCAGTCAAACATGTGCAGGAGCAACAATGGCTCTGGACGAGTGAGGGTTGCAGGACTTGGCTCGACATTAGCAATTTGTTAGAAAAACTAATTTTAGTCATATTTTAAATGTAGCCACATTTTTTTCTCACACTTTATGCCAACTGACCTCGTATAACTATTGACAAATGGAAAATAATCACATTTAGCCTTATAATTTCTTGTTATATTTATTTAAGCTTTTCCTTCCATATTTCCATATAGAAGAGGTTAAGTTCCTCTTACTAGTTAGCCCTGGATTTAATATAATCTGCAAGTAAACAGTTGTGTTAAATAACCAGAGTGTTTTGTATAATTTGCTGAAACATTACAGGATCGTACCCACGCAGCAGAGCAGTCCGAGTTTCCTTAGGACGAGGGAGGTGGTACAGCGAAGGTTTTCACACGTGACCGCTAATGCACGCTCTCATTCTGGAGACATTTTTCGCAAAGGAGCAGGAGTACAGGTCACCAGACATACCTGACAACCAGTGAAGCATCAACTCCCACAAAAACAACACGAAAAAAAAATTCCTACTGAAAAAGATGGTCCAACCTTTTATCTCATGCATGCAATGGCTCTCCATATTCATTTTGCCCCGGGGCCCCTCAGGGCACCACCGAGGAAGGGTCTAGAGGTCAAAAAAGTCCAGAACAGGCTTAGAAAGATGTACCAGGTATACAGCATGTAATTCATCCCTGACTTTCGCTGCTTTCCTGGGCGGATGGAAGCTGGCCCCAGAGAACCACCCGCAGGGTCTGTTCTCACACTGCCAGGGAGACTCCTTACCCTCCATGCTGCTCAGGGGTGGTGACACCACCAGCACTGGCATGATGTGGGCACTAAAATCCTGCCAAGCTGAGGGTCAGCTGCACTGCTGGGCAGCTGACGAGCGACAGCACTCAGGGGTGTGCTTTCGCTGGCCCCAGTTGCTGAAAACAAAACTTGCCCCAAAGCATTTTCTGCGCAGCTTGAAGAGGCTGCAACCAAAGCAAATCTCTATGTTAAAAATACAAAAGGGTAAAGTTTGTGATTTTTTTAAAAAAAATTTTTTTAAGGTTTTGGTTTTTTGTTTTTTTTTTTTTGTTTTTTAGGTTTTTTTTGTTTGTTTTTGTTTTGTTCTTTTTTTTTTTTTAGTTTTCAGACCTTACTGAAGACAGGAGTGTGCTTCTCTGGATTTTTTTACTTCACCTGCAATTATATGTCTCAGTCATTTGTGTTAATCAACCAAAGTTCTCTACAGACTTTATTTTTGTACAATATTCATTTTATAACTTTTTACAAAATAAAACTCATTTCTATTGTTACCTGATTGTTGCTCGTGCTTCTCCATTGTACCACTTCCAAGTTACAACATTGCCCAGTTCCTAACCTGCACAAGGCGATGCTGAGAAGCCAGCAAGTCCTCTGCAAAGTGGAGCTTTCTTATCTCGCCAGCATATTTAGTGTGGATCAGAGATGTTTGTAGCTTCTTAGCAGAATGCAACGTCATTGGGTGACTGCAATAACTGACTTGAAAATGCATGGTAAGCAGTGACAGTGATCTACTCAATGGCAGGCTTGAAGCCTGGGGTTACCCAAGCTGTCCCTTGCCCACACGGGGCTGCAGTGTCTTCATGGTGGCCTTGGCTATGCATGGCCACAGTTCCTGCACTTGGAGGACGATTTGCATTTTGCATTGCTGATACAGTCATTACACCAGTTGGACTAAATTCCATCCACTTTGGCAGTTCTTTTTCCTTCATCTTTAAACAGGAAAATAAAACTTGAGGAATTTTCTTTTCCACCACCATCACGGAAAAGATGAGGACAGGTTTTGTGGCTGTGGCCAGCAACGTTTTCTCAGCTGTTTTGTGTTAAGTGCTGCAGTTCCCATCACAGAGCCCATAAACGCATGCAGACTTACAGGTTTCAACACCGGACTCTGTACTCCTCAGACTGCTACAGAGAGGAAGAGGGAGCATCTGAGCAGCGAGCCAGAGAGCAGGAGATCAAACACGCTTAATGGGCAGCATATGGATGTCTTGGTTTCATTTGTGCTGACGGGGGCCACGCACGCAGCTCTATCCCAGCTGCTGGAGTGCAAAGCAAAGCTCGCAAGCCCTGCCTTTGAAGCACACGGTATTGAAGGCATTCCTCCTCACATGCCACCGCCTCCACCCCTTGTAGCAGAAGCCCATCAGTCCATCCACGACGAGCAAAAGCTGCACACATGAAGTGTTCGGCATGGAAATGAATTGCAGCTTCACGTTCAGAGAAGAGGGTACGCTTTCCCAAGGGTTCGAGGGAGTGTCTTTGTAAAACACAGCCGTGAGGTGCTCTGAAGTTTAATCTCCAGTCTTACAGCCCAAAACTTCTGTCTGCTCTTGCATGGATGGGGAAGCACAAAGCAATACAGAAGTATTGCTTGGCCTTACCAGAGGGTTTGAGTGGGCCACATAACAGGTGGCAGGAGCAGCATTGCTTGCATGGAGCTGTTTCACCCTCCTTCTCCAACCTTCCTGGTGAGGATAATATTGAAGAGAACAGATGGGGCTTTGCTATTGCAACTCCAGGCTCACCACTGCTGGGCTGGCACCTTCAAGCTCCTTTTCTGGTTAAAGTGAGGCTTGTGGTATTTTCCTGGCACCCCACATGCGTTAAAGCAGCTTGAAACCTTCAGCTGGCAGATTGTGTAAAAGATTTCAAAAAGGACTTAAACTTTCATTTGTTACTGCGTAGTGCCGGCACTGGGACAGACATTGTGTTGCTGCTTGAGTAGCAAGGACAGCCCTACCCTAGGTTCCTTCTGGATGGATAAGACATCTCCCAAACTCGATAATTTTTTTACAAGAGAGGATGATCCAAACACCATAATTATTTACACTTACTCAGCACAATCAGAAAGACGTTAAAAGTTTTATTACTTGACATCTTGATAAGGCTTTTTTATTTATTTTATAATTTTGTGTTGGATTTTGTTGGATTAGTTAGCACTGTGCTGCCAGACAAGAATGGCTCTTTAGAGACTTGGGACAAATTATGAATATCAGAGGAAAAAGCAGGTGTTTTAAAAGGAGGGCACATTTAGTGATGCAACTTAGAAGTCTGATCCTCAGTTAGTCCCCTTCGGCAGAAGGGATTGCAGCCATGTGCATTCCACAGGCAGTGTCACCTACAGGGCATCAAGAGAGAAACTGTCATAACAGCAGGTCCTTCTGCCATCTCTCCATCCCACAGTGGTCTGGTGCTGCTTGTCTCAGTACAAACAGGATGAAATGGGCAAAACTGCATTTGATTTTAGGTTGTTTCACCACTTCCCACAAAAGGGGAGAAAGGACAAAAGCAGCCAGTGCCTCAGACTGTACCACCACAGGAGGAAACCAGAAGCAACCTCACTCCTTGCAGTCTGGATGGCTAAACAAAAATACAGAGGAAAATATCAGGATGAAGAAAACAAATGGAGCTGACACATTGTATAAATAGGTCTTCAAATGTCATGCATGGCTGGAACAAAGATGTTTTGTTCCAAAGCAAGAGACAGCTTGAAATGGCTCAGTAATACACATTGAGAAGTTTGCTTATTTGGAACAGAGCTCTTCTAATGAAAAGGTTAATTGTGTTGCAATGGAAAAGAAAAAAGGCATAGCAGAAGCCAGTCCTGCACTCCTCACCCTAACAAAATTTCCCACTGGCTCAAAGTGAAGATTTTCTATCACAAACATCACAGGACTGAACTACTAACATTCCAATAAATTATAAAGTAGGTATATTCCCAGGTCAATTAGAATAACTAAATAAACCATATATTCTAGCAGCACTAATCCTGTTGGCTTTCAGGCAAGTTGCAGCAACATCCAGTGAGAGAAACATGGTGCTTGGCTCAGCCTGAAGCAGGGAAGTTTCCTTTAGCAGGCACCGAGCACCAGTCCTCAGGGTCAGCGTCGAGACATCTTCACTTGCCATTGGCTTTTTCACTTTGAAACTGCATCATTTTATTCACTTTTCCCCAAAAGGTTCACTCACAAGTGAAGTGGAGAATTGGTAAATCATACAATGGGCTTTTGAAGGCTGAAAAGGGCTACTGTAATTACCCACAGGGTAAATAAAATATATCTGCAACTTCTCCAGCTTTTTGACAGTGATCTGAGCCCTTCCACATGTGAAAGTTTTCTCCTGTGCCCCAAATCCTTGGTTTCCTTTCTGCTGGCACACTGGATGAGAAAAGCTCCCTTCTCTGTCACCCCAGGGAAGGTACAAGCATCAGTCCCCAGTCCAGAGTTGTACACCTTATCCCCAAGTGGTCCTGCAAGGTCTAAAGCCACCTACACCCTCACCAGTACTGCTCCACTGACTGTTGTGGAGTTACTGCTGTTTCATAGGCATGCAAATAAGCATATGAAACCTGTTTATTTTCCTAGCAATATTCAGATACAATTAGAAAGACTACACCCTTGTACAACCCCCCTAGACTTTCTGTTTCATAGAAGCATAAAGTGGTTTGGGTTGGAAGGGACCTTGAAGACGATCTCATGACAATCCTTCTGCCACGGGCATGGATGTCTTCCACTAGAGCAGGTTGCTCAGTGCACAATCTAACATGTCCTTGAACACTTTCAGGAATGAGGCATCACCAACTTCCCTGAGCAACCTGTTTCAGGGTCTCACCAGCTTCACAGTTAAGAATTTCTCCCTAATACCTAAGTTTACCATCTTCAGTTTGAAGTCATTCCGCCTTTTCCTATCATTATATGCGTTTGTAGGAAGTCCCTCTTCAACTTTCCTGTAGGTTTTTAGGTACCCTTTAAATACTGGAAGGCTGCTCTGGATTGTCCCTGGACCCTTGTCTTTGCCTGGCTTAATAACCCCAGTGCTCTTAGCCTGTCTTTGTAGGAGGGGTACTCCAGCCTCCTAATCACCTTCATGTGTTGTGGGGTTTCCAGAGCTTTAACACATTTCTCTGTGCTCTGATTATGCTACCAATTCCTCTTTTTTTCCCCACTGGCACTCACCCACAGCTTTCTCTTCTTTGACTGTCTCATGACTCCCACATTAAACTCTGGCTTCACAGATGCTGTAAACATGTCCCATAATTCTTATTTCAGGTTAAAATCATTCCCCTCTGAGATCCAGAGAGGGGTCAACAGGCATTTCTTGTTAGCATACAATATTATTTTTAACAGCATTTTCAATCTGGGGATTAAACATTTCCTTTAAAGAATTCACAGCTTAGAGATCCACTTTGGATAACTCTGTATTTTGAAAGACACAGAGACTTCTTTCCTGCACGACTAGGCAAGCTCTCTGGGGGTGAAAGTGGCTACACAGTCAGGGTAGGATGGAGATCTCTCAGTACCCCATCTCTCACAGTGTCCTTCAGCTGAGAAAAGGAGGAGTAGAATAAAAAAGCAAACTGGGAGTGGTATTTTCCCTGAAAACCCCACCCCAGATCCAACAATTTGCAGTTCAGAACATTCTGAGCCAGATGTTTTATCGGTATCCAACAGTCCTTGGCAGGTCTGTCTCGCTGGGAAGGTACCCAACATCCTCCTTTGTGAATTAGAGCTCCCCTGAACTCTGGGGCAATTTAATTCTGTGCAATGCGAGCAAGAGCTTCTCAGCTGGCACTGAAACTCCATTTCATCGGTGGCCTACTCATTCCTCTGTCCTGATGAGTTGCCAGATCTCCTCCACCTTCACAGTCCACGTGGATCTGTCCAATCTGAGGAGCCCTTGTGTATCTCACTATCTGTGTCTTTTCTCTCCCTTCCAACTGGACCACATTCCTCTTGAGGGGAAGATGTCCCCATTAGGATGCTGGATAGGAGCAAACCCTGGATTTCCACAGAGGCCCATCAATATTTTCTTTTCTGTTTTCCGTTCTGTTTCCAAGAATTCCTTTCAGGTGGTGGGTGGGGAACTCATCAGAAACATGACTGCAGAGGCAACATGCTGCATGTGTCCTTTTGGGAATCCTCTTTGTTTAACACAGAACTTTTGCCAGCTCTCAGGTCTAACCTGACTAATTCCAGTTGTGTTGGTCTATACAAATTATCACATGGTAGCCAAAAAAATATTTCTTTTTACTGAGATGTAACCATTGCGTGCAGTCACCGTGGAGCCAGAAGGCATTGCCCCAAGTCTGGGCCACTCTGCCATGCCCACAGACACCCACCTCCCAGAACCATCTGTGTGTGGAGACCCCAGGTCTCCAGGTTTGAGGCACACACAGTGACTTAGGAACACGCCTTGTCTCACTGCATACAGGAAGTTAAAGGGATCTGGTCCTCCGGGAGTGACCCAGAGGGCTGCCTTAGATCAA